ATGTAGATCAAACTGGCCTCAAACTCACAGAGATCCTCCTACCTCTGTCTCTGGGGTGCTAGGATAAAAGGCGTTCAGCACTATACCCGGCCCCATAAAAATCTGAAAATTATTAATAATAATAATTAAAATTTTTGGAGATTTGAAAAAATAAGCAAAAACCACCTAGGAGCTCATCTCAGCTGTGGATGTGTATCAGATGGCCTGTCTAAGGACAATGACGTCCTGAGGACTCTGATCCTAATGAATGAGTTAGTCCATTGATGGAGTCGTATCACACACAGTACTATTACATGGTGGAGCTGCGGAAGGTGGGGTCTGAGAGGAGGAAGCAGGTCACTGGGGTTCTGTGTGTATGGTGGGGGGGTGTTTTGCCCTGGCTTCTTCCTGTTTTCTTCTGCTTCAGGGCCATTGAGAAATGAAGATGCCCACTCCACCCCCACCCTACCTGCCCATGTATCACAATTCAAAACAAATCTTTCCCTTCAAGTTGTCCTTGATATTTGGTTACAGTGATGCAAAAGCAAAGATACTTCTGAGAGAAAAAGTAATGATATACAAGCAAATGTTTAATTCCAATACATTCTCTTTGGGTTTAAAGAAGTATGTGTCCTGATTGCCCAGACTCAGAAACTAAGTAGCAAATAGGTATTCTTAATCTAAATATGGGAAGAACCTTAGCATTTAAAAGATTATCACAATTATTGCAACAGTTTCAATAACAGGTCAGAGGGTAACAGTGAGAACAAAGACCGAGGCTTAGTGCCTGCAGCCCAGAAGTAGCTGAAGCGCAGGGCAGGAACCGTGAGCAGGCTCTGCCCTCCCTCATCACCTATTTCTGTCAGCTAGAGCCACCATCACAGCACTGCCACCTGAGGACCAAGCATCTAAAACATGACCCGTAGGGAGCTTCCATATTCAAACTATAACCAACAAGGCTGCTACCCAGGAACTGTATTAAGAATACAATTTCTCTACTATTCTTTTGTTTGGTTTTTCAAGACAGTGTTTCTCTGTGTTGCTTGGCTGTCATGGAACTTTCTCTATAAACCAGACTGGCCTTGAACTCACAGAGATCCACCTGCCTCTGCCTCCCACCTGCTTGGATTTAAGGTGTGCACCACCATCCAGCACACAATTTTTCTACTATTTTTGCAACTTTTTTTAAAAAAATATTTTTTCGAGACAGGGTTTCTCTGTATAACAGTCCTGGCTGTCCAGGAACTTACTCTATAGACCAGGCTGGCCTCAAACTCACTGATATCAGTTTTCATCTGCCTCTACAAGTTCTGGGATTAAAGGCATGTGCCACCGTGTTCCAGTTTAGCTAACTTTCTTATGCAGCCTAGAACCACCTGTCCAGGAAATGGCACCATCCATGGTGGGCTAGGCCCTGTGACATGAATTTAAACTATCAAGACAAGTCCCTCACAGACATGCCCATACACCAACCTGACAGAATACTCAATTAAGACTTCTATTCCACATAATTGTAGGCTGTGTTGAGCTGGTAATTAATGCTTACTAGGACATTAATTCAACACCTGGAAAGCTCCGGAAAAGCCAGAGACCATGTTGAAGCTTTTCCTTCACAGGAAAGGAACGGAATCTATGTTTGCTTTTTATTTCATCAATCAATATTTATGGAAAGTTTAATGAGAAACCCTGTCTCCAAAAACCAAAAAAAAATCCACCTAAGAAAATCTAAATTATAATAAAAAGTGCTAATATGATAGCAGCATTGGCTTTGCATTCTACAAATTTTTTCATGGAGTCACTTACTAAGTACTTGATAGTCTTCCAACTTTCTACCTTTCGGGGTAATGACTTCTCAATCTGCAAAATAGAATTATACGTGTGTATATATATATAATTTAATCTGAGCCTCTGGATTGATTTAAAGATACATATAACTTACCTGAAATAATATGAAGTATATGCACATTTCCTAGGAAGAGATAATTTTTCTAGGTCCTATGCTGACTAAATCATAAAGGTTTTAGAAATGAATTTAATGTTTTTCAATTCAATTTCAAATTCCCTCTCCTTTTTAACATTCTATGGTTCATATAGGTCTCAAAGGTCCCCACTTCCATCTCTAACAGCCCACGATTCCACTATGGATGGAAAAAAGGTAGAGATTTAACCCCCCATTCCCAGACATCCCTTCCCTAGGGAAAAAGATCTAAATTCTAAACATGTAACCCTGTGCTCTTTGTGACTTTCTTTTCTCTTGCCAACTTTCCAACTTCATTTTCAGCCTTCCTCCAGATCCTACCCATCTAGCCTGCAATTTGCAAGTTTTGGTTTTACTTACCATAGGACTTTGTACAGGCAATACACTCTAGAAAAGTTCTTAGGGAATTACAAAAAAAGATTCCATTTTATTTATTTATTTATTTATTTATTTTGGTTTTTCGAGACAGGGTTCCATTTTATTTTTAATATATTTTTATTCTTTGATAACTTCATAGATGAATACAATGTATTTTGATAATATTCACCTGACTCCTGCCAGTAACTTCTTCCAGACCCACCTCCAACTTTTAAATTTTTAATATTAAGTGTGTGTGAGTGAAAGAGAGAGGGAGGGAGAGAGACAGAGTTCATTTGTGCACAAACATTGCGGGCAGGTGCTGGCAGAGGCCAAACATTAAATCCCCCCTAGAACTGAAGTTACAGGTGGTTGTGAGCTGCCCTACCTGGTGCTGAAAACTGAAAGCAGTATGCACTCTTTTTGGAACTTGGGTGGGTACAGGGTTTCACCATGCAGTTCTGACTAACCTAGAACTCTTCTGTGTAGACTGTGCTAGCTTCAAAATCATAGAGATCTGTCTGCCTCTGTCAAGGCCTCACATTAAAGGACTATGCTACAATACCAATCACAGCACAGGGTTTCTCTATGGCTTTGAAGGCTGTCCTGAAACTAGTTCTTGTAGACCAGACTGGTCTCCAAGAGATCCACCTGCCTCTGCCTCCTGAGTGCTGAGCCACCACCCAGCCCTCTTTTTTCTTTTCCAAGACAGGGTTTATCTGTGTAGCTCTGGTTGTCCTGGAACTTACTCCATAGACCAGGCTGGTCTTGATCTGCCTGCCTCTGCCTCCCAAATGCAGGGATCAAAGGTGTGCACTACCTCCACCTGGCCACAATGTTCACTTTTAACCAGTCATCTCTCTAGCTCCAGGGTACATATCATCTGGGGTTTCTGTCCCTTTCTGGAGTTCAGTTCCTTTTCTGGAAAATGGAGATACAAACCTTATTCATGAGTAAGCTGTCAAATAGAATATGCCATCTGCCAGAATTTGCCAGAGATTACACTTTTGCCAGCATCATCTCTCTGAATTTTCAGAAACATCCACTTTTTTATTTCATAGTTAAAAAGACTGTATGTAGTTCAAAGGCTGTAGGCAATGTATCTAATGAAAATATGTGTCTGTGTGTGTGGTGCGCTCATGTGAGTGCACAGGTGTGTGAGAAGGTCAGCAGAGGGCGTTTTCCTCTATTGCTCTGTTTATTGCCTCCAGATAGAGCCTCAAATTGAATTTAGAAGTGCATAGGTTTGGTTAGGCTGGCGAACCAGCAGCTCCTGAGATCCACCTGCTTCTGGCCCCAACACAAGGGTTATAGGCGAGCTCAACTATGCCTGTTTATTTGTTGTTGTTTTGTTTACATGGGTACAAGAGAATTCAGACCCTCATGCTTTTGATGGAAACACCCTTACCCAACTGAGCCATCTCCCTAGCTCTGAAAACACTCTTTAAATCCTGTCTTTCCCAGAGCTTTATTCACGCCTCCCAACAACTGGGAGGTAGGTATTATTTACTGCTAGGGGTGCTGAAGCAAAGAAACCCTGCAAAGAGGATGGCAGCAGACAGCCTTACTCCAACACGCTCAGCAGCTGCTCAACAAAATAGAACACAAACTGCATGTGGGATTTCAATTTTCATAGTAGCTGCATTTCAAAAGAAAAGAGACATAGGTAAAAGTAAGTAATAATATTGTTTATTTGACCCAATATATACAAAATAATAACATGTTCCAACATGTAATAAACATAAAAACCTTTTTTCCTACACAGACACATGAGTTGTCTACATTATAATACATCTCAATTCAGGGTATTTACATTTCAAAGGTTCAGTAAATACATAATGGACCGACACGGTAATTACAGTTCACTTATTAATCTCAAAATTAAAAAGTAGTACCCATAGAACCACCTCTTTCTTGGTTTTCGAGGACAAGCAAAAATAATGACAAAGAATCGACCTTCAAGCATTTGCTTTGTGCCAGGAAGCATCTTAAGAATTTTGCCCAAGTATTATTTTGTCATCCTCAAAACAAGGTGAGTACTATTGCACTTAAGCAGGCGAGAAGGTATGCATATGTGTACTTAAGAATCTCAGCTCACTCTGTAACCCAGGGATGGCCTCTAAATCTAACATTACAGGCTTGGGAGGCCTTTTTATTTTTTGGTTTTCCAAGACAAGGTTACTCTGTGTAGTCCTGGCTGTTCTGGAACTCGTATGTAGACCAGGCTGGACTCGAACTCAAAGGGATCCGCGGCCTCTGACTCCTGGGTGCTGGAATTAAAGGCATGCACCACCAAGTCTACTGAGCGATCTTTCTTAAAGTAGTCGGAGCCCTTGTCTCGCTGTCCCACCCGCGTCATCCGCCAAGCTCCGCCAAATCCCTGGCCAGCCCTCATTCTGTTTTACCCAAGAGTGTAAACGCTACTCCCTGATCCTGGTCCAGCATCTGCCCTAGCAGGCGCAGGTCACCTTCAAGCCCTTCGATAGGGTCGCCGCCTTCTCCCTTTCCTTCTCGGCCTCTCCTTCCACCTCTTCCCACTCCAACCTGGAATCCTCTTCCGACCCGGATTTCGACTCGGATTCCGACTCCAGGTCCATCTCCAAAATCCGTGCTTCCCTCTTGTGCAGCTCCTCCTCGAATAGGAGGTCGTCAGAGTCCCTATCGCTACTCTCCGAAGAGTTGACACCTGCGAACCACAAGGCCTTGGCCGGATCAAACTTCACGTGACTGGTAAGGGGCGCGGCTTCCGGGATGTGGCGCTTCGGTGCGCTCCAGGGGAGGTCCGCGGAGTCGCCCATTTCCGGCCGCCTCAGAGCTTCTCAGGTGGAGGTAAGCTGGGCTCGCCCTTGCCCTCCCCTGGGCCCGCGTCCCACGGGGGCAGCGCTGGCTCTGTCCTTCAGCGGTCTCTCTTCTCCCGTCTCCGCGCAGACACAGAGCCAGGCCGTAGTTGCGGGACAAAGGGTGACGCCGAGAGTCGCAGTCATGGCGTCGCCGGAGCCCAGCCTGGCGGCCCGGAGCCCCGCGGCGCCGCCCGAGCGACCGGAAGGAGCCGGTGACTGTGCCGACCCCGAGCCCGACTCCGTGAGCCCTGCGCCTCCGGAGCTCCCTGGCATGCCCGCACCTTTGGACGCGGCGCCGCAGGTTGAAGCCGCCCCGCGGCCCAGTGCCTCTCGGCCGGGCCCCGAGACGTTTCGCCAGCGCTTCCGGCAGTTCCGCTATCAGGACGCGGCGGGTCCGCGGGAAGCCTTCCGGCAGCTGCGGGAGCTGTCCCGCCAGTGGCTGCGGCCGGACATCCGCACTAAGGAGCAGATCGTGGAGATGCTGGTGCAAGAGCAGCTGCAGGCCATCCTGCCCGAGGCGGCCCGGGCCCGGCGGCTGCGACGCCGCGCGGATGTGCGCATCACTGGCTGAGCAGCGGAGCCGGGGACCCCTTGGACTGATACTGTACCCTGAGTTAATGAAAATTGAATTTTGACAGCTCCCGTGGTCTGGTGTGTCTTTCATTCGTCCTTTATTTATTGGGCTTATTTCAGGAGGTTCCTCCCGCCCTTGCAGTTGATAGAGGATTGTGGGAGCCTGTAAAAGTAGCAGTTTTATTTGCTATTCCTGGACCACTGGGGATGTGCAGGACTTTGCCCTCAGGCGGGAAATGTCCCCTTTCTTACCCTGTTGAGTAGATCTAGGCCATCCCTCTACCACATCGGCAAAGTTTTTCTGAACTTACCTGAGTTTTGTCTTGGAAAAGGCCACGTTAATGACGGTGACGGTCGTCTAGTGTTCCATACTACCCTCTGCCCTATACTATGTAGAATCCGAGCTTGAGCAGATAGCAATACATAGTGCTTTGGAAACAGTAAGAGGCTTTGTTAAATGCTCAGCTCTGTGTCGTGGCTCATGCTTTTAATCAACACTTGGGAGGCAGGGGCTGGCATCAGGGTCTACTGGCTTTGCATGTGCAGCTGTTTATCGTTACAGAAATGTTTTGCCTAAAACTGTAATAGGGTTCATGACCTTTAAGGTTAAAAACATTTTGGCCATGACCAGAATGTGTACCATGAAGAGGCAAAGAGCGGACACTTCCCAATTCCTTAATACTTCTGCCTGTTCCTCTCCGGAATTGTGTCAGCTTCCTGGAGTGAAGCACACTTGTGGGCCAAGCTCCATTGTCTTTACAATGAATAAACAAAAGCCTTTCTCAATCCCTGATGCTCCACTTGCACAATGGTTTTCCATGGAGTGAGCTTTGGGATGCTCTCAGTAACATTGCTCTCAGTCCTCATTTCAATGTATTCAGGGGGGCTCCTGTTTTTAACAACTTCCTCTAACCCTCAACTCTACCAAAGGAAGTAATTTTTCAAAGAATGAAAACAACTAGTTTGTTTTCCTTGAGGCTTCCGATATGGGACGGCGGCAGAGGAATGCAGTTTGGGTTATAGGAAGCTTGGGTTTGTTCCAGCAGTGGGTGAGTCTCTGTAGAGAAGGCAGGGCACCTTCTTGCATTGCTTCCAGCAACCAAAACTAGTAAATCTGCAGCTTCTACCACAATGCATGAGTCAGACTTGGGTAGAAACTGGTATGATCATCTAGCTTTAGCTGATTTTTTTAAAAGCATTTTGTTATTCCATGGGATTTCTTGATAGAGATGCATATATCTCTCTGTATGAGATTATCATAGAAGAGCAGGCATGGTATAAGGTGTTGATTATATAACATGTTTTAAGTGCCGAGGGGTGGTGGCTCACACCTTTAATCCCAGCACTCAGGAGGAATAGGCAGGTGGATCTCTGTAAGTTCGAGGCCAGCCTGGTCTACAGAGCGAGTTCCAGGACAGCCTCCAAAGCCACAGAGAAACCCTGTCTCGAAAAACCAAAAAAAAAAAAAAAAAAAAAAAAGAGTAGGGTGATGGTGCACTCAGGAGACAACGGCAGGATTACTGCAAGCTTGAAGCCCAACTTTGGGTTAGGTAACAAGCACAAGGCAAGCCTGGACTACATAGCAAAACTGTCTAAAAACAACTGGGTGTTGTAGCATAGGACTTAATCCTAGCATTTGAGGCAGAGGCAGGGGAGTTCTAGGCCAGTCAGGGCTATCTAATGGTACCTTGCCTCCAAACAAAGCAAACAAAAATTACAACCTTTTATACTCCAGTAATATGTGACTGACTCATAGCAACAAGAACCTGTTTTATTTTTTTCCAGATACAGAAGTTTGCATGTTTTGCACATATTGCTTGAAAGCAACACTCCTATGTACAGTACCCTCTGTCTAATAGTTCGTAAACACAGATACATATCCACAGTGCAATGCTGGCTCAGCCAGGATCCACCTTACATACTTAAACAAATGACTGATCAAACTAGAACTGCTGTGTCAAGGCGACCTTCCATAGGTGGATAGTTTTTTCTTAACAGACAGAACTTAGGTAGTGCACATGTTTCTAAATGCTATCAGCATTGTTTGCAAAGGACAGATTCCAGTGCTCCAACTTAGGGGTTAATTCACTGTGACCCAGGAATTTGGAGTGGAGCCCCTCAACATGGCTTTAGGTTAGGGAAGAACTGAGGTTATCAGAACATGGGGAGTCTGCTTTGCTTCCCTACCAACAAAAATCACAATGCAACCAGATTACTTCCTTCACAAAACCTAAATGATAAACCCAGAAATGACCATATGGCAAAATTAGGATCATTCAGTGTCTGCTTTTAACTTTGAACAAGACACGAAACTGCCTTCAAAGTTACAGCTTCCCCAGATGTGATAATCAAGGGTAGTTACATAAAAGAAAAACCGTAATTTAAAAACCTTTATTACATTTGTCTATTATGTAAATGTGTGTCAGAGGACAACTTTAAGGTGTCAATTCTCTACTATGTGGGTCCTGGGGATTGAACTCAGGTCAGCAGGCTTGGTGGCAAGCACCTTTACCAACTGAGGCATCTCTCTGGCCCCTAATATCTAATGTAACAATCTTCATACCTCACACAGTTGTAGCTATAGAAAATTATCTTGGTTCTTCCCCTTTCTGACAATCATCATCCAGTTCTCAAGATGCAGTTATTAATAAATTATCCAAAACACCGATGTCACATGGACTCCTGGAGCATTTCTTCCCACAACAGAAACATGTTAGCAGTGGGAAGCAGCCTTTAATAAGGGACTGTGTTTGCTTCATTATGCGTTACACACTCCCCAAGCTATGCCAGGTCAACTCATGCTTGCCCTGCAGCTCATTTTATAGCAGATGGTGAACAAATCATTGGACAGGGCATTCATTCCATGAAACTTCTTTGTACACAGGCCTCAATTCCGAGGCCACAATGACCTGTTATGCCTGAAGCTGAACCATTCCCAAGGCAGCTGAAGATGCTGCTACTACTAGCTACTGACACTGGTTCCTTGATGTTTACACAGTAAATATTTGCCGCCTAAAACATTACAGATTCCAAAACTCATGATGAACCTGTGGGTACTGATGGATAAAGGTACTTTGATATTTGCCTTTAGTGATGCAAAAAACTGGTTAAATGAAGTCCTCAAAGCATGGAACCTTTTAAACTTGGCCTAGTAAGGTAAAACAAAACAATATAGCAATTACACATAGAACCAGAACCTGCAAAATAACACAAATATTCTCTCTGAAGGTACAAACAGGTTGTACCTGGACCTTAAGCAGCATAATCACCTTGATCTCACAAGTAATACAAACAGGAAATTGAAAGTGTTAAAGTGCATCAGCAACTCTGGAAATGCCAGCTACCACACTAGCCTCCCAGGAGGAGGCAGCGGCACACAGATTCTCAAGTTGCTGACGACAATATAAAACAAGGTAATACCCACGTTCTTTGTAACAAATCTTTACAGCAAAAGTTCAAAATCTTGGGAATTTTTTTAAACTTTAAACAGAAGTGGGAAGTTGTTGGAATTAATACGTGTGTAAAAAATGCTGTCCTTTGGGTTCCAGACCCTGCCTGCTTCCTTCTGGGACTCCTTGTAGATTCTCTTTGCAGCAAGATTCTAGTTCTCCTTCAGCAGTTTCGGCTTGGCTGCCAAAGTCATGGCCCAACCAACTCTGGGCTAAATAACAACATAAAACCTTGTCCCCGGTACCGTGAAATCATGCAAGAGACGTGGCAAGAAAATGAAGTCTTGAGGAAGCAGTGCCCTCAGGGCCCCTGCTCCTCCTTCCCAAACTGCACGATAGTCAAGTCCCAACATTCCAATGAAGCTGAAAGATGAAAATGGTATCTGCTGCCCATTTAAATACCACACCAGGCAGAGAAACCAGAGGGGTTGGCACATGCCTCAACCTGACCCAAAAGTCAATTAAATAAACTGCAATTTGAATTTACAACTGTTTCCAACTAGATTTTTTTTTTTTTTTTGGCTCTCATTCCATTTATCACCAGTGGCACGATTCCAAGTGAAGATGTGCAAAGACTCGCTTCGTTCAACGATGTGCACAGAAGAGGGTTCTAAGACTACGCGCTGCCTTCGTGGTCGGCTTCCAGATCACGAGTGCCCTGTCCTCCAGCAGCCAAAATGGTCTCTTTGTCCCAGTGTCCATCACACTCCTGGCCAAATCCCTGAAGTCAGTCAGTGTCACGTGCATTCAGCATGCTAAGTTTATTTAAATATGCGAAGCTCCCCCAGCAGACATGCCAGGACTGTGCTCCAATGGTCTTGGGTGCTCAATCTCATGTCGAGCAGCAGAGGGCAATCTGCTGCACCTTGCCCAGGTCAGTCAGCAGCTGCTTGATGCAATGCTTGAGCTGTGGAAGCCTGGCCAGCGGCTCTGGGGGCTCCAGTTCCCCAGTGTAGTCCAGCCAGCTCTCCAGCACTGCAGGTAGAAGAGAGAGAAGATCCTTGAGTGCTTAGAACTTGACTTACAAAAACCTCAACACAAGGTCATTTCAACCCAGGTTGCCCCAATATTACACCCCACAAAGTGTTGCTGCAGGGCACAAAGCTCTAATATCAGGGTTTACAAGGTCAGCATAGGCGTGTGTGTTGAATGGTCCCTAGCTGGTGATGCTATCTGGGGAGAAAGTAGGTTACTAGGGATGTGCCTTTTCAATTATGCCTGCATCTCTTCCTCTCTCATCCTTATCTGCCAAGCTATAGACAGGTGCCTCCACAACATGCTCTCACTGCCATAACTAGACCAAGTAACTGTGGGCTGGACTCTCTGAAGTGATAAGCTACTTAAGCAAACTTTCCCTCAGTGTGTTTTTGTCAGGTATTTGGTTACATCGATGACAATATGCTTCACCACAGTGCGGGCCTGAAGTCCTAATTAGTGGTAGAAGGAATGATCTACATCTTTGCTCCCCAATACAGTGGCCATCAGTCAAATCAGATACAGCTGCTGAACTCTTACAGCAGGGTGAGTGAAACCTAAGGAGTGCATTTGAATTGTATTCACTTTTTTAAAAACTGTTTTCTCTGTGAAACAGTCCGGTGATTGTGGGCTGCTTAAGAAAGTTAGCTAAACTGGGACACGATGGCGCATGCCTTTAATTCTAGCACTTGGGGAGGCAGAGGCAAGCTGATCTCAGTGAGTTTGAGGCCAGCCTGGTCTGCAAAGTGAGTTTCAGGACAGCCAGTGCTGTTACACAGAGAAACCTGTCTTGAAAAACCATAGGAAAAAGAAAAGGTGCAAAAACGGTAGAGAAATTGTGCGCTGGGTGGTGGTGGTGCACATCTTAAATCCAAGCAGTTGGGAGACAGAGGCAGAGGCTGGTGATCTCTGTGAGTTCCAGGCCAGCCTGGTTTACAGCCTGGACAGCCAGGCTTCAGAAGGTAACACGGGGAAGGGAAAGACAAGAGTAATGCCAAGTAAGGAATCCTACCATCCAGCTCCTTCTCAATGGAGTCCATCCGATGCGTTACTTCATCCTGAAGAGACTCCACATGTGTCAGCAGGTTAAACTGCCACTGGTGCTGCGAGCTCACCAGCCCTTCTCCGCCTCTGTCCAGCAGCTTCCGAGCAGGGGCTTCTTCCGGCAGGACCTTCTTGGAAATGTATTCCTTCACCTGGGCATGCAATGATGTTTAAGTCACTGAGCAGATACATCCAACTTTCTCCAAGTGGTCAGTATTTACAACCCTGGGAAAAAGCACCGAGAAGCTTCCTCTGGCTGCCTCAGTGCCCCAGCCTGAAGCAGGCCTCTCAGAACCCTGAGGGCTGCCTAGAGTAGAGCTAGTGTAGAGGAAGGCTAGGGTATTGTCGTCATGTTTAGTGAGTCCTGCCTGGTTCTTGGTGAACATGTGGCCCTGATGAGTTACTGCCCCTATGGGCAACATGGATCTAGTATTCTGAAGTTTCACGAAGGTAACCATGGTGACAGGATACGGTCAGCTCACCAGATTTCACATATGTTTCCTTTAGAAATTTGCCTTTTACTATACAATTGGGATCTCAACCTTTTATTCACTTGAAATGATAACAATTCTAGGTAACATTTGGGGTTTTCTGTGTACAAAGCAATGTCCTAAAAGCTTCCATGGGTCTGATGAGGAAAGCCACAAGAACCAAAGTGTCTAAACCTAGGCTTAGAAATGATCTGCTACAGAAAGGCTGCCCTTACTACTTGTCCAGACTTGCTTAGACACTGGCAAGAGTATAGGCTCAAGGTACAAGGCCACTCTGGAAGCATGGTGGGGCTGCTCCCTTCCACTTGGCAATACACAGCAGCACAGATGCCAAGCCACAGGCTAACGTCGGGAAAGTAAGGGTGATCTGGGCACAGGAGACCCCACTCACAGAAGACAGGCACAGGCAGACTCAAGAGAAACAAAGGAGGGAGACACAGGCATGACACAAGGGGCTCAGAGAGGAGTGACTTAAAAATAACAAAAACTGAATAGCAAGCAAAAGTCTGTCTCTTGGGGGAAAATGTTCAAAGTAGCAAATACTTTAATGAAATTAACCCTTCTTATGACAGGCTAGAAAACAACAACCTGCAGTTTTGTTGAAAACATTATACCTAACAATATGCTTGACTATTACGCTCATGTTAATAATTAGCACCCTGGAGCAATTACAATGTAAATGATACTAAAGAAAAAAATGTTTTTTCTTCATTCTATTTTTTTCCAAGTTTAAATCAACTTTTCTGCTTGATACCTCCTCAGTTTGTCCTTAGTCCCCTAATCATGCTATTTTGTGGGATCATCTGTAATTCATGGCCTTTGGCTCAAATGGGTCCCCTTACTTTGTACCCATCTTAATAGAGAAACAAACAAACAAAAGCCAAAAAAACCCTCTGATGCACAAATTTAAAGAGTTCTATTAAGAAGCACCTTCCTCAGAATGGTTAGCCCAGGAGGACTTAAAATGCTCAGCCACTAAGTAGGGTAAAAGGAGGCAAGGCAGCCGGGCGTTGTCACCCGCCTTTAATCCCAGCACTGGGGAGGCAGAGGCAGGCGGATCTCTGTGAGTTCGAGGCCAGCCTGGTCTACAGAGTGAGTTCCAGGACAATACAGAGAAACCCTGTCTCAAAAAAACAAAACAAAAAAAAAAAAAAACCAGAGAGGAGACAAGCCACGTACCTTTGGGGAACTAGGTTTAGGATCACTGTCTCCTCTGATCCTTTCTTGGTCAAGAGGCCAACCTAGGCGTGGGGAGAGGGGATCGTCACCATTCTCACAGAGGGGGTTGACTGCATCATCCAGGGCAGATCCTCTGGTCTCGACTACCAGCTTCTGTTCCACAGCTGGGTAGTAGGTGCGGGGCTTCTGGTAGCAGTGCTCACTGGTGATATAGGACTCCTCCACAGACCGCGGCAGGGGCAAGGGCTTCTCCACCGCCCCATTCAAAGTTCTATAGCTTAGGGATTCCTCTTTGCTCCTGGTGTCTGTGATGTGGATGTGTCTGGAATGCACTCTCCCCTCCGCAGGCTGCTGTTTCCAGGGCTGGCACCACAGCTGCAGATCAGGGTGCTCCCTGCTTCTGTGGAGATGGCAAACAGAAACAGTTCTGAGGGTAGCAGGAACCATCACAAAACTTCTTAACTTACAATCTCTCTCTCTCTCTCTCTCTCTCTCTCTCTCTCTCTCTCTCTCTCTCTCTCTCTCTCTCTCTCTCTCTCTCTCTCTCTTTCTCTGGCTCTCTGGTTTTTCAGGACATGGTTTCTCTGTGAAACAGCCCTGGCTGTCCTGGAGCTCACCCTATAGACTAGGCTTGCCTGGAACTCACAGAGATATGTCTGCCTCTGCTGGGATTAAAGGTGTACGCCACCACCACCTGGCCCACCTTTCATTTCTTAACCATACAGAACTTCTATTATAACTTTTGATCACTAAAAGAAGAAAGACAAAGAAGACAGAGGAAGAGAAAGATGATTGTAACTGGTGGGTCTAGAACATAGCGAATGTAGTGGGGATGACAGTCCTCCAGGGCCTGTATGGAAACAAGTGGCCACCAAAAGCTAAAACCTAGCTCCATAAGACCTACAACTTTTCTGTATGAACAAGACTTTGACAGGGATAGGAGTCTGAGCAACCACTCCCTGTGTGTATGCATATGCAAAAGCACACAGATGGTTCAAGAGGCCAGGGAGAGCATTGGCTCTCATAGAGCTGGGGTTACAGATGGTTGTGAGCTGGCTGATGCCAGTGCTAGGAACTGAACTTAGGTCCTCTGGAGAAGCAGCAAGGACTCTTAACTGCTGAATCCTCTGTACAGTCTCTCTGGCAGCAGATTTAAGATTCTTTGTCTACGACTCCCGAGTGTTTAGAATAAAAGTATAAACAAAATGTGACGTACATATACTACATTTTGCCTTTAAAGAGAAAATTGGCAGTGGGACACAAATCTATCCCTGGTGCATGAGCTGGCATTTTGGAACCCATTTGCCATGGTGGGATGCCTTGCTCAGCCTTGATGCAGGACTGAGGGTTTTGTCCTGCCTCAACTTAATGTACCAGGCTTTGATGACTCCCGGTGAGAGGCCTTACCCTTTTTGAGGAATGGATGGTGGGGGGGACTGTGGATGGTATGTAAAATGAATAAAAACATTTTTTAAAAAGGGAAAAAATAAGGAAATTCAAATACAGTATAGCTAGCTATGTGAAATAAACAACAAGTAGACACTGCATGATTTCTCCTATGAGGTATCTAGAGAAGTTGAATTCATAGGGACAGAAAGCAGAGTGTTGGTTGTCAGGGCTGGGAGGAGGGGATGTATGGAGAAATCGATCTTGCAGGATGAAAAGTTCTGGAGACTGACTGCATGCCAGTGTAATGACCTTCACACTACAGACATGTACAGAAAAAAAGTAAGATAGCAAACAAACATGGTGTTCATGCATGTAATCCCAACTACTCTGGAGGCCAAAGCAAGAACATTGCTTGAGCTCAGGAATTCAAAATCATACCAAGCAAAAAGAAAATAAAAGAGCTGGTCATAGGGAGGCAGAGGCAGGTGGATCTCCGTGAGCTCAAGGCCAGCCAGGTCTACAGAGCGAGTTCTAAGACAACCAGGACTAAATAGAGAAATCCTGTCACAAAAAGAAAAAAATAAGGCACAGTGTGTGTGTGTGTTGTTTGTGTTAAATAAAAAGGTTTAGATGGCCAGGCGTTGGTGGCGCACGCCTTTAATCCCAGCACTCGGGAGGCAGAGGTAGGCGGATCTCTGTGAGTTCGAGGCCAGGCTGGACTGACAGCCTCCAAAACAGAGAAACCCTGTCTCATAAAACCAAAAAAAAAAAAAAAAAAAAAAAAAAAAAGGTTTAGATGATACATTTTAAATTTACATTATGTGTATTTTATCAGTTTTAAAACCCCTCAAAAACAGTACACCCAAAGATAGCACAAAGCAAACTATAAATGTGTACACCACATTGCAGTGGTCCTGTAATCCTAATTCTCAACTAGCTGAGACAGTAGGAACACAGTGAGTTTGATGCCAGTTTGGACTACACACTGAATTCTAGGCCAGCCTGGGCTACAGTTTAAGAATCTGCCAAAAAAAAAAAAAAAGCCTGATAAGCTGAGTTTTGATTCCTAGGACCCACTAGCAATAAATGAAAATAAAAAATAAAAAAAAAAACCGAAAAACCTAAATGAACATACCTGTGGTGATACCTTGTTTATACTCAAATAAGGCTTGCCTGAAGATCAGGGGCAGAGTTAGCCACTAGCTTACCATAGAGTTACCATAGAGGTCTGAAGGTCTGTACAGATAGACAGGAAGTGAGATGGCTGGGGGAGAGAGGAACTCAGCCTCTTTTCAATCTGAAAATTTCGTAGAGGTAAGAGCTCTAGTGACTGGCTGATCTGCTTCTCTGATCTTTCAGCTTTCACCCCTAATATCTGATTCCGGGCTTTTATTATTAAGACCTATTAGAACTTGTGTTATAGTATGTCCTGGTTAGGGTCTTCATTACATGGGCTATGTACTTATCAAATTCAATCAGGTCTTAAAATAAGTGAACTTAATTAAAGTCAACTGTACAAAGGAGTATGTGCTTATTACATAACTGACGGGGCACTGGGAATCACACTGAGACCCACACATGGTGGCAAACACGCTACCCGAGCCACCTGCTCATCACAGCAACAGAATTGTTGGTACAGATCTAAACTTGTGGGCCTCAGGGCTAACTCCGAGGCTTTCCACTTTCTCAAAACCTGACTGAACTGAGAGTCAGAGAACCCTGCCCAAAGCTGCAGGCACCACACTTACTGCAAGATGCTCATCTTGAGCTGCAAGCCGTGAAGCACCTCGATCACTCTCTGCACATCACCGAGAAGCTGGTGGGTGGCCACAATCTTCTTGGCATTCTGATGGGAGTAGTTCTCTTCTAGAAATGCCAGGCCGTGCATATGCCCCCGGCTCAACCACTCCTTGTCATACCAGTACTTGAAGCCAGGCCTCTGACCTAAAGTGGTGACAGTAAAAGAGGATCAAACATGGCCTGAGGGAAAGCCAGGCTGCCCTTTTTTTTTTTTTTTTTTTTTTTTTTTTGGTTTTTACGAGACAGGGTTTCTCTGTATTATTTTGGAGGCTGTCGGTCCAGCCGGGCCTCGAACTCACAGAGATCGCCTGCCTCTGCCTCCTGAGTGCTGGGATTAAAGGTGTGCACCACCAACGCCCGGCTCAGGCTGGCTGCCCTTTCATTGGTCAAGTCCTCATGAATTTCCATAATGGGACTGATCACTGTTCATTTTGTTCATGTTTACTTAGCACCTTCTCTATGCTTGGCCTCTTCTAGGTGTTGGAGATAAGGTAGGAGTAAGGCTCTGTCCCTTCCATGGGCCCCAGGGGCAACCAAATAACAATTCTGATTTATTTTCCTCCCTCCTTGCTACTCTCCCTTCTCTCTCTGCCTCCTCCTGTCTTTTTTTCTAGATAGGGTCTCATGTGGCTCACAGTATCCTCAAACTAACTATATAGCTTAGACTGGCTTTAAACTCCTGCTCCTCCTGTTTCCACATGGAGTGTTCTAGTGTTGTAGAATAAATATTATTTTAACTATGTAAAGATGTGTTACATTGTTTATTCTATAGAATATTACTTTAATTGTGTGAAGGTGTGTTTCTTTTGGAGACAGGGTTTCTCTGTGGCTTTGGAGGCTATCCTGGAACTATATCTCTTGTAGACCAGGCTGGTCTTGAACTCACAGAGATCTGCCTGCCTCTGCCTCCCTGGCGCCACCACCACCAGGCTCTTCTAACCTTTGTGTACGTGTATGTGTGCGTGCGTGCGCGTGCGTGCGTGCGTGCGTGCGTGTGTGTGTGTGTGTGTGTGTGATACTTTTGTGAATGCTACGTTTGTTTAATTATGTAAAGATGTGCTAACATTGGTTTCTCCTGACTGGGTTAATAAGAAATTAAACGGCCAATAGCTAGGCAAGAAAAGGATAGGCAGGGCTGGTAAGAATTAAGAATAAACAGGAGGGCCGGGCGGTGGTGGCGCATGCCTTTAATCCCAGCACTTGGGAGGCAGAGGCAGGCGATCTCTGTGAGTTCGAGGCCCGGCTGGACCGACAGCCTCCAAAACAATACAGAGAAACCCTGTCTCGTAAAACCAAAAAAAAAAAAAAAAAGAATAAACAGGAGGAGAAACTTTGGCTTGAGGAGGAATGGGAGGAGGAGGGGACAAGGGAGACAATCAGAAGCCAGGCAGTTGCCAGAAGAAGCAGTGAAAATAAGTTATACAGAAAGAAAGGAAAGGAAACAAAGTAAAAAGTCCTGAGGCAAAAGGTAAATAAAGAGAAATGGGTTAATTTAAAATAAAAGAGCTAGTCAGAAGCCTGTCTAAACTAGGCTAATCATTCAAAACTAGTAAGAAGTCTCCGTGTCATGATTGGGGAGGAAAAAAGCAAAAGCCTGGAACATTCTGGGATAGAGATGCACACCCCATGGTCGGCTGGATTCTCTCTTACATTTTAGTCATATTCTTCTCTCCTCCACTTGGAACTTTCCATAGCTTTCCACAGCTCACAGAAGGAAACTCAAATTCCTAGCTAACTACTAAGGCCACAGAACCATGCCTTCCTGCTCTCCTCATTCCACCCTCTGGTTTTTCTGGGTTTTAAGAACACACACACACAAAATGCTTTTCTTGGCCTCACCTCTTTCCTCTAGTGGGCCTCTGTCTGAAGTGTTGTTCCTGTAGACCTCTCCAGGACTGTGCTCCCCATCTCAAGTGTCCTTTTTACCACCATCCAGCATCAAAAGAGCCTTTCAGGGTCCCCATTACCCCCTCATCACTCCCCGCACCTAGCTTCACCTGTACATAGTCTTGTGTTTAACTTTGGCTTTCTGTTCCCAATCCTATTACGAGCCATAAGAAAAGGAACCATCTTATTGATGGCTGCAGTCCCAGGGACTGGCAAAGTGTCTCGAATGGGCTTATCCAGTGAATGGAAGGCTCCAAGCCCCTTTACAACAGAACCACTGGGTCCTAACTAAACAGGTGGCAGGGATCTTTGCCTTCTCTGGACCCCTGCTTCCCATCTGTTATATCACAGGTGACCTGGACAGCTCCAGGGGCCCTGCTCACTACATTAGAAAGGACAGAAAACATTAGCTCAGGAACTCAGCAGTACTTCCTGCTCCAAAAGCTCAGGAACAGTATTTTCCAAAGAGATTCATTCACTCTTCAGTAAATATAAAAACACTTAAACAAGCTGGGCATGGTGGGAGGGACAGCCAAGAGTCATGGACAACCCCTGTTAACGACAAAACCAATTGATCCTGCTAAGGAACTGAGCAAGACACTGTCACAAGAGTAGTGACAAGCTGATACACCATGCCTTGGCTCTTCCTCTCCAGAGCGTGTCTCCCTTCCCAGGGGCAGTGATGCAGTGTGGGCAGGTGTACCCGCCAACATCCTGAAATGCCAAGTGCTGGCTTCAAATTTCTCAAGGAAAGTGCTTCACTGCTGAAACTGGAACAAGAACCCAGCAAGGCCCTGAGCAAGAACGATGGGCTAATTCACAGAGCAGTTAACACTGTGGATAGTCTCAGCCAGGCCTACGGACGTTCTAGACTGCTGTACCACTTTGTGCTTATCATTTACAATATCATGTCTTTTTTCAGTACATTTCAAGAAACATTCTAGATCAAGGTCAAGTCTTCTGCTAGGTAAGCACCTACATACACATTCTCTCACTGCTGGGTTCAGGAGAGCTGGCCACCAGGTGGGCTTGCAACAAGGGTGAGGGAAGTCACCTAGCCATCAGCAAAGAAATTCATTAAGAGCACAGACAGGGTGTCTCACAAGCTGCTGTGTTATGACGGGTTACATACTGCTCTCATCCCGGCTCCAGAGATCTCTACCTGGAGGGTCTTGGCAGATGTAACAGGTGTATTTTTCAGGCACATTTTCTTCCAGCAGTCCCATGCAGACCCCGTGCTGCCAGCACTGGCATTCTTCACACTGGGAAGAGTAAAGTAACAAACCTGAGAACGCAGGAAGCCCCAGAAGCTGGCCCCTTTGTTGAGAGGGAGAGGAAACGGGAAGGAGCACTCCCTACTGACTTCCACTCCCCACTGACCACATGGAGATTTACTTTAAAAGTTCTTAGTTCTTTAGTCCCAAGAGCTGTATCTGAAGTGCCCAAATGAGGCTATGAGCTCTGGTACAGGCCACACACACAAAGAACATTTAGACTGTGAGGAGTAGTGGAACATGAGACCAACCTCAGTTACATAGTGAGACCAAAGCCAGCCTGGGATACTTTAGAATCTGTCTCAAAACCAAAATTTAGATTAACTAAATAGTACTGATTCCAGACTGACTGCTGCCACTCCCACCTCTCAGCTTCTATCGCCAATCAACTGTGAAGCCACAGTCCTCATTTCACACCAACATAAACTGCAAAAGGATAAAGAATGCAGGTTTTTGTTTTGTTTTGTGTCCCCTCCCGTCCCCGTCCCCCCCCGCCTTTCAAGACAGGGTTTTTTCTGTGTAGCCTTGGCTGTCCTGAAACTCAATTTGTAGACCAGGCTGGCCTCAAACTCACAGAGATCCACCTGCCTCTGCCACCCAAGTGCTGGGATTAAAAATGTGTGCCACCGGGCTGGAGAGATGGCTCAGCGGTTAAGAGCACTGACTGTTCCTCCAGAGGTCCTGAGTTCAATTCCCAGCAACCACATGGTGGCTCACAACCACCAGAATGAGATCTGGTACCCTCTGTTGACACGCAAGCAGAAGACTGTACACATAATAAATAAATTATTAAAAAAAAAGTGTGCCACCACCGCCCAGCTAAAACAGGCATAAGGTTCTTAAAAAACGAAATCTTTCTGGGTGGTGGTGGTGCACGCCTTTAAACCCAGCACTCGGGAGGCAGAGGCAGGAGGATCTCTGGCAGATCTCTGTGAGTTCGAGACCATCCTGATCTACAAGAGCTATTTCCAGGACTGCCTCCAAAGCAACAAAGAAACCCTGCCTCAAAAAACCAAACCAAACCTAACAAACAAACAAAAGACCCCAAATCTCCGAAGTTCTAGAAGAAACCACAAAAGTCTATACTTAGGAAGCAGAGACACATGGTAGCATGTGACTGTAATCTCAGTATTTTATCTCAGTATTTAGGAAGCAGAGACAGAATACAGCAAGGTTGAGGACAAATGGCCAGAGTGAGACTGTGGGTAGTTTCACCAGCCTGAATCTAGAATCACCTGTGAAGAGTTTCTCAACAAGGGATTGTCTAGATCAGGTTAGTTTCTGGGTCTGTTTATTTCAGATTCTCTTGGGTAGGTTAAGTGGAAGACCCTCTCACTATAGATGGCACCATTCCCTAGGAGGGGATGTTAAACTTTGTAATAGTGAAAGTAAGCCCAGCACAGCATGCAGGCAGGTATTAATTAGTTCCACTCTTCTGACTGCTAATGCAATATGACGGGCTGGCTTCAAGCTCCTGCCACCATGCCACACTGTATCCTATCTACCCCTCTAGAACTGTGAGCCAAAGTAATTTCCCCCATAAGTTGCTTTTGTCAGGATACTTTATCATAGCAATAGAAAATAACTAAGATAGACACTCCACCTAAAAACACATCAACTAAAAGGATAAAACACATAAATTCAACTATGTACATTAAATGGAGTCAATTTCAAAATTTGATGCCATGTACATAAAAACAAAGAAAGCAAACCAAGGGGGCTGGGCCTGTTCTTCCTAATGGAGAGTATTAATGCATGGTGGGCTGCCAGTCCTTTTACTAGAACACCTGCTGCCACTGATACAGACAGATAGACAGACAGACATACATGCGCGCGCGCACACACACACACACTCTCTCCTCTCAAGTAACACCAGGTGACAGTGGCAGACAAAATTATGAAACCAGACTCTGTTTTTTCACGTTATAAGGGAAATTTATGTCAAAGAGAAGACTATCCATGAAGAAGACTGAATTGCCACTCCAGTCTTAAGTCCCTGTCATCCAATTCCTTACTGTGGGACAGAGGCAAGGCTGTCCCCTTTAGCCTCAATGACTCCTCTCTCATTCTATTTACAACAGCCTAGAATTCTCAGAACGCTGAATCAAAATGCAAACGTGGTCTGCTGCTGTGAGTAGGGCATGCCGGAGGCAGCTGACACAGCTCACTATCACTGTGGGCCTCACATCCCCTCGGATGATCAGTTTCTCCTCTGCTAACCTGTGTTCTGGGAGCTCTACTTGCCTGAATCATGAAGTCATTTTCCTCTTGGACTTCACAGATGCATCGGACCACCTCAAAGTCATAGCGGTCGTCAGCATCAAGCTCCTCATCTGGGTTGGTGGTCACATCGACATCTGGACCAAATTCTTCATCACTCCAAAGAAAGCTCTCGGAAGAGGACTCGCTCAAATTATCCTCCTCTGAAAGCAAAGAGGGGCCAACAGTCAGTGCTCTAAACTCAGATAACATTTCCGCACATCACATTGTCTCAGCCCCTCCTCCAGGAACTTCCATGGCCTGGAAACAGGACACTGCTCTCAGGGCTTGTTTCTAGAACAGCTCAAATGATGCATGCTATCTGCCAAGGGGGGAACTACATGTCCTCATTTCACTAAGGGATACAAAGGGGCTCCCAGAAACCCTGAGGTCACTATCAGAAGAGTGACTTCTTGTGAGCCACACACACCCTAAGGACTCAAAATGCTCCCTAGCTGTCCCCAGGCAGCCAGAACCTGGCTTATAGCCATCTCTGTCCACAGCCACCTTTGGGGTTCTGTGCATCATAGGGAAAAGAGGCGGGGCCAACTGCAGGGATAAGGCTAGACCTCAGTGTCTGACTACTTACAGTCACTAAGTCCTTACTCTACCACACCCACTGGTCAGGTAGCACACACTTTCTAGCAGGTGACGGGTCAGGTGACAGTGAGCTCTTACCACATGCTTTCAGTTTCCCTTTATGGTTTCCATTATCTGAAGCATGGAGCTGCGGGCTCATATGGACCCCTGGCTTGTGTGAGGACCCACACCTGGTGACCGCAAATGCTTTGGGTGGAGAAGGTTCCTGGGAGGTGTCGCTGATGTCTTCACTGCAGGGACATTCTACAAGAACAGCAACCCCAGGCACCATCAGGCATCCCAGAAGCAACTCAATAGCAAGCAGTCTGCAGTTCAGAGAGCTCAAAGGCCTGCGGCAGTACACCACAGACAGGGGCGAAGGGCCGTCACTTCCTCCTCCTCCTGCTCCTGCCCTTCTCTTCTGGTAAAATGGCTTTTTAAGTCAAAAGGGACACCGAGAATAAAACACGACATCGGCATCGCTTTACCTCTCAAGGCTAAACAGAGACTTATTTGTTTGTTTCTTGAGACAGGGTTTCTCTGTGTAGCCCTTGCTGTCCTGGAACTCACTCTGTAGACACCAGGCTGACCTCAAACTCAGATATTTACCTGCCTCTGCATCCCAAGTGCCAGAAGAGATTTTTTTAAAAGACTGTTGATGAGACTAAAACACACTTTTCAAGAATTGAAGCTTTTCTTGAGAGTTAGGTGTGTAACAGTTACACAAGTAAACTATGAAGATTTGTACACCTGTAATCTCAGTGCTTGGGAGGCTGGGGCTAAAGGATTGAGAGTCTGAGAGCAACCTGAGCTACAGAATGAGGTCTAGGCTAGCCTGAGCTAAAGAGTAAGCCCATGTCTCAAAAAACTCAAGGGAAAAAAAAGAGTTATTATGTAAAAGCTATTACTGTGCACATCCATATTCCTCCCCGTAACAGAGCACGCTGGCCAGCGCAACAAGTGGGGAAGCATTTACAAAGGCCAGTCAAACCTTCTGAGATGTGACTGAGGGGCCAGCAAGATGACTCAGAGGGAAAAGAAATTTGCCTCACAAGTCTGATGACCTAAGTTCAATCCTTGGACCCACAGAGGGAAGAGAGAATCAGTTCCTGAAATTGCCCTCTGACCTCCACGTGTTCACTGAGGCACATGCATTGTGGTCTGTAGACACCTTCATTTATATACATAACAAATGCACATGCAATAATAATAAGCTAAATCTCTCCAAGAGTTGGTCGAGTGTTCTGCCTCAACCCGCACCCTCTTCCAGGGCCCATGCTGAGCCCACAAGCCCTAGGAAAGGCCTGTTTAGTCATTCCTAAGTAGGCAAGCCCTCCAGGGAAAATTACCAGGCTTGGTTTTCTTTTTCTTTTTCTTCTTCTTCTTTGGCTTCACTCGCACAAGCTCTTTGAATTTCTTCTCTTTATTCTTTTCCTTCTCCTTTGCAGCTAGAATTAAACACATTCAAGAGTCATTAATGTTTGCTTACAGTTCTGGGATCTTGTTCTTTTCTTAGTAATCAGGTATGTTTAAGGCAAGAAACTAACAGTCCCTGACCTGGTCATGCCTGGAAGGGTCCCTTCCTGCCCCTGGGAGATAGAGTGGGGAGCTGGGGGACCACTCCTCCCTCACAAGGCCTTTGGAGCTGTGAAATGTGCATCACTCATCTACTATATGTCTATAGCTGCTTTCCTGCTTCAGCTTGGCAGCACTGTTCCTAAAATGGGAAATGCAAATGAACACAGATCTAAAAGCTCAATGTAACTCCCTCTCCTCCCCAGTACCACAGACTTCTCCCTTCAATTTGTCCTTGTAACATGAGTAGACACTGTGTCCCCAGTCTCTCTACCCTACAGATACTGTGCAGCACCTCTACACTTGTCCTGGGGCTGAACTCTTGCCATCAGACTTGATGGTAAGTGCCTTTTCTATAGCTGAGTCATACTCCCAGCTCCTACACAGTGGTTTAACCTGGAAGGACTACCACTGAATGGGAGATAAAGCAATTCACCTTTAGTCTCACCAAATGCAGCCACCTGAAGGGAAGAGAGTTACAGAGGCCAACAAATTGAATACCACTGGCCACCCATTCACAGCTACTGGGTATCTAACATGTAAAGCTACTTTGTATTGATTTAGGTTTCCTAAGTAGAAAACACATGATAGTTTTTAAAGACTGACTTCTATGAAAAATACATAAGCTAGAGAAGTCATGATTTTTATTTTGATGACACACTAAAAGGTTAAGTCATATGTCCATTACACAGGATATATTCTGAGAAACTCATCCTTAGTTAATTCCAATGTCCAAACAACACAGAATATGCACAAACTTCAATGGCTACAATGTCACAGACAACATAATTTTAGGACACTATGTTTGTGACGCTATGGTTGTACACGTGGTCTGCCACTGACCACACTGCCACAAGGTACCACAGATTATTTTAAATATACTAAATATACTATTAAAAGCATTCTTTTCACATTTTAAAAATGTGGCTACTCAAAAACAGAAAACTGTGGACTGGAGAGATGGTTAAGAGCACTGGCTGTTCTTCTAGAGTGACTGGGTTCAATTCCCAGCACCCATATGGCAGCTCACAACTGTCTGCAACTCTATTTCAGGGGATGTGACACCCTCACACAGATAAATATGCAGGTAAAATACCAATATGCATAAAATAAAAGTAAATAATTAAAAAATAGTAAACTGCACATGTGGTTTAGATTCCTGGTGAGTAACCCAACACATATGACCAACCTTAACCCTGATGCATTATGTCTTCCTAGTACAACTAAAGACTGCCTTCTCACTGGGCCAGAGATCTTAGACTCATGGCCCTACCCCAGTGTCCCAAAAAATGTCTTCTTATACTCCCTTGGAGACACTAACAGGTGTCTCAAAAAATGCCATATTGCATTTAATATTGGAGATTTGTGTGTGTGTATGTGAATATGGTATATGTACATGACTGTGCAGGTGTGCTTGCCCTTGCATGTGTGTATGGACATCAGATACCGATGCTGAATGCTTTCAATTACTCTCTACCTTACCCTTTGATACTCACCATTTGGTCAGGCTGGTTGGCCAATGAGCCTCTGAGATCCATGTCTCCTCCTCCCCACATCCCCAGCTCTGGGATTCCAGCCCCACACTATTGACCTGGCTCTTATATGGGTGCTGAGGATCCAAACTCTAGTTCTCATGTGTACAGTGCGTGTTTTACCCACTGACCTATCTGCCTAGCTCAATACCTACACACTTCAGTAACAGAGATATAACAAAAATAAATAAAACAAACCTGTGCTGATACTACAAACTCAGATGTAAATAACCTTAGAAGACTGAAGAGTTTATTGGAAATCTGCTGAGTATAGTGGTGCACTTTTGTAGTCCCAGCACTCTGGCGGCAGAGACTAAGGGATTTGGAGTTCAAAGTCATTCTCAATACTTAAAGAGCAGCCTGGCATAAACAAGACTGTCTAAAATTATAATTTATTGCAAATTCATTAATAATTCTGAAATACTCTTGGAAACAGTTTCAGTTTCTTTCAATTTTAGAAGAAACCTCAAGGGGAGGGGGAGAAGTCCTCTACCGAGGTGGGGAGGGAGATTTAGTGGTGGCTGCACAGCGCATTGCGGATTCTGTACTGAGTAATTTTAGAAAGCATCTTGAGGAGCAGTGAAGGGTTAGCGGGTCACAACTGCACCCAGCAACAGACAAACTCACACTCACTTTGAAGTCTTTTGAACTTCTGTCCTGACAGGAATGGGATATGGATCTGTGGGGTAGCATGGTGGCATCCATCTGCCCTGGGGCCAACTTGGCTGATCTCAGCGTTCCTTTGCTTGATGTCCCCACTTGGGAGTGCCTCAGCCTTCACAGCAACTCATGAACAGTCACATGAACAGAGAGAGGCAGAGCTTGCTACTTCCTCCCAGTGGCTTCAGTTCTATGATGTAACTCCCAAGAACCACCTGCTCAACTGGATCATCAACCTACGGCAGCTTTCCATCTAAGAAATGTCAGAGCTCTCCCAGGACACATCACAGAACCAAGATACTCACTTGGGGAGCTGGCAGAGACCCGCTTCCTGGTCAGGCTCTCCTGGCCAGCCTTGTCAGGCACTACAGAGCCCCGAGTTTGCACATGCCTCTTCCCTGGGCTTTCCTCTGGCTCTGGTGATTTCTCCATTCCATGGAAGTACTTCATATGATAGTGCAGCAGTTTAGCTTTGCGGAAAAATTTCAAACAGTCCACAACCTTGCATCGAAACTTGTGGTCTAGGTCCACAGCTGGCACATTCACTGTCACAAAGTCATCTGTTTTCTTCAAAGTACTTGGAACTGTAAAAAATAAATAAATAAATAAAAATAAAGAGTCCTGGATTGGCTGGCTATTATGGAATATGCACAGCACACAGCCACAAAAAGTGGCAGTGGCGTTCGAGGCCAGCCTGGTCTACAAAGTGAGTTCCAGGACAGCCTCTAAAGCTACAGAGAAACCCTGTCTCGAAAAACCAAAAAAAAAAAAAAAAAAAAAAGTGGCAGTGGAAGGCAAACTCTGCCCAAGACATCAAAACACACTGCTACCTCCCAAAGCACTATTTGGAGAGAAGAGACCCAACTTCCAGGAACAACCTTGATTCGGTGTTAGAAAAAAAAGGAAACCGACACAGCCTTATGTCCTCAGGGTTTCACAGATCCTGGGCATAACTGGGGTAAATGCTAAAGTGACTTGTGCACTGAACCAGGTTTAAATTCACCACCATTCTTTGCCAGTCTATGTGGACAGAGTCAGAGGGCTCTTATGAAACCAAGGTGGCTTTACAATAGTAGAGCTTTGACATGTCACCATGTACTGGTTTTAAAAAACCTAAATACTGCAAACAAACAACACAAAGCAACCAAGCAGGTGGACAAGAGAGCATGAGAACCCAGGACTCAATGAACAAATTCCAACTTTAAGTCTCCTATATTCAAATAAATAGAAGATAACAGTCTGCAGTGTACCATGGAGTAAAGCTGTCATAGGGTCTTCTTATGCCCCAGAAACTCAGTTCCACAGCTGGGTGTAAGGAGTAGACACTTGTTATTCGAGTAAGCAGGAGGTAGAAGCAATACAGTCTCAAGTTCAAGGCCAGCCTGAGCTACACTTGTAGAAGACCCAGTGCAATTCCCAGCACCTACATGGTAGCTCACAAACATCTGTAAACTCCAGTCCCTTTTCTGGATCTTTTTGGACCCTGCATGCATATATACACAGATAAAAATGCAGGTCTAACACCTAAACACATAAAAATATATAAATATTTTCTTGGAGGGAGGGAGAGAGGGAGGGAGGGAGGGAGGAAGGGAGGGAGGGAGGGAGGGAAGAAGGGAAAGATATTGTTCATTAATGATCTCCCTTCACAGTGCCCTCAACCCAATAGGAGTAATTATCTTTTACACTCCAACTCTACAGAATATCCTTAGGACTTTTCTTGGGGAATGTAAATTTTCCCTTAATGCAATGACATACTTTCTATTAGAAACAGGTCACATGCTAAATCTCTGGAATAGATCATGATTATTTTTGCAAGTACCATCAAAAGAAAAAAATGTTTAAATCTCAATCTAAGTTAAACACTACATTTCAAATATCTTCACTTCAAAATTGGTTTGGAGATCTGGTAAATGCTGTTATATGATGAACTTCAACAAAAACCCTAGAACATGAACACATGACAAGTCAGAAGGCCTTGAAATGTTTTATGCCTATGCTAACAAACAAAGAAGAGCCAAAATAGCAACAGGTAAGAGGGAAGGTATTGACGTGAGGCGGGATGCATATTGCTCAGATACAGAACTCCAGAAAAGGGCATCAATGGAAGGAATCCAAAACTCAAACCTCTAATCTCACTGCGTAACCCAGGCTGGCCCTGACCTCGTGGCTAGCATTCTTCAGAATGCTGCATTTCAGATATGAGCTACCATATCTGGCACTAAAATTCTATATTTAAAGGAGAAAAAAATACCAAAACCCAGCAGAACCAGCCTTTTGGGAACAGAGACAGGTGCAAGCAAGAGGCCCAGTGTTGAATCAAAACAATAAAACAAAAACTTCTTCCCTCAGAAGTATGCACGCAGGCACAAACACACACCTACACACCCCAGGTTCTCTGGGGTTTCCTCCTCTTGGATCTATTAGGTTGAACCTTTTATGTAGGTTTTTGAAATTATTGTTGTTATTATTATTATTATATTTTATTATGACTGTTTTGTTTGTATGTATGATTGTGTATCGCATGCAAGTCTGGAGCCTGTGGAGGCCAGAAGAGTGTTGGGTCCCCTGGAACTGGAGTTAAGTCAGTTGTGAACCTTCCTGTGAGTTTTGGGAGTTAAACCTGGTCCTCTGGAAGAGTAGCCAGTGCTCTTAAATGTCAAAGCATCTCCTATTTCTACAGATTTCTAAAGGTTAAATATTGGCTAGTTCATATGGCTCAACTTAATAAGCCCCTTTCATAATCTTTCAACAACCACTTCAGGCAACTCTAATGCTGCATGAACAGATTTAAGGTCAAAGTGCATCAAAGACTGTCATCAACAACCTGCGGGTAACAAGAGGTCAAGTACAGGTATGATAAACCCCAACATTCTTGAAGCTTGTTTAAAGCCCCAGGTTGTGATCCACTTGTTTGTAATGGAAAAGCTGAATGCCAAAATGGTAACATCTTTGAAGTAAATAAAATCTATGGGCTGGAGAGATGGCTCAGTAGTAAAGAGCATGAACTGTTTTTGCAGAGGGTCCAGGTTCAAATCCCAACATCCAAGTTAGGCCTGGACTTTGGTGTGAAACCATCTGTAACTCTAGCTTCTGGGAATCTAATGTCCTTGTCCAGCTTCTGTGGGCACTGCAATTATATGTGCAAACACATTCATGCATACACACTCGTGGACACACGGACACACACACACACACACATTCGCACATGCACTGTAGGCTAGTTCCATGAAGACTCATCATTCTCATTAATAAAAACTGTGAACGTGGCGGGCGTTGGTGGCGCACGCCTTTAATTCCAGCACTCGGGAGGCAGAAGCAGGCGGATCTCTGTGAGTTCAAGGCCAGCCTGGCCTACAGAGTGAATTCCAGGACAACCTCCAAAACAATACAGAGAAACCCTATCTCAAAAAACAAAAACAACAAAACAAAACAAACAAAAAAAACCTGTGAACCTAGTTAAGTATGGTAGAATATGCCAGTAATCCTAGCACGACGAGGCTAAGGTAAAGGGCTGGGTGGACTGGGAGTGTGAGGCAGCCTGTGAAGACACTAAGCTTCAGACCAGTCAGCTACGTTACATGGTGAAACCTTGCCTCAAAAAACGACATACAGTAAAACCGGGAGCTTGCATGGTAACTTGGTTGGTAGAGTGTTTGCCTTGCATGCTTTCACTTCTGGCATTGCACAATCTGAGGTGGTACACACTGGCCACCCTAACACTCAGGAGTTACAGGCAGGAGAACCAGAAATCCAAAACTATCCTCAGATACATATGGTGTTCAAGGTCAGTCAGGTGTGACCCACCTCCTGATTCTGTACGCTCGGGATCAGAAGGCCCTGTCTCAAAACAAAACTGCATGCTTGTATGCACACTATCAACTACATAAGGCAAGAAGCAAAGTGGCTATGAAGCCATAGGTAGGCTTCATAGTTGGATGGTCTGTTAAAATCCTGGAACCCCCAATTTACTTCCCTTGCCTCGTGTGCAGAGTGGAGATAATAAAGGCAACGTATCTCTGAGTTACGAGAGTTGAATAAATTAGATGTCAAGAGTCTTTCAGAGGGCTGCCTGGGATTTGAGTGCACAATAAATATGGGCTAGTTAGTATTACTCTCCAAGGATTACTTTGTACTTATGAGCAGCTTTTCTGGAATTGACCTGAATAATAAGCAGAGGAGACAAGTGTCATTCCCCGCCCCTGCCAGCCTGCATCTTCATTGCATGGTCACAACAGCTCAGCCTTTACTAGCCACGTATCTAAGCTCCTAAGTCAGTCTGGTTCTTCAGTTTCTTGCCTATGAAAGCGACAAATACCATCAAAAAACTATAGAGTAAATTAAAATTACCCCTAATGAATTCCACCTGATTGTTTTAGTCTAAGACCTTGGTAACTTTTTTTCATAAATTTTGGTTTTTGGAGGGGAATATGTAGCCTAGACTACCTACAAACTCTAGACTTCCTGCCTCCCCAGTGCAAGTCCTGGGATTATAGGCCTACATCAATATGCCCATTGAAAACTTTGTAATTCTTACCGTGCAAACCTATATATTCTTTACCCAAGTCAACGAAGGAAGGGGAAGCCCTCACAACAGAATTCAGGCCAGCATTAACCAACCATTCTACATGCATAAGTTTCCTGAGCCAACTCAATTTCATCTTTATAGCCTACCAATGTCCTAAGCATTATCTCCTTATTTATGAACGGATTCCAGGAGAGATGTGGTCTGACTTTCTGCTAAATTGGGACACATGGAACTTGACAGTCTACCACTCTGGCAATGAAAAGACAATGAAGTCAGTTGGGGGGCGCAGGACAGATGAATGGGACAACTTCCCCAAATTAAAATCCCTGATTCCTCTTTGTATTTGAGCAGGTGGGACAGCTTCATTGCCAAGAAGCAAGCCTGGCACCTGGGTGCCTCTGAGGGGTGGTAGTGCTAAGGTCACACAGGCTTAGATAGGCATGGAAGTTCCCTATGGAAAAAGACACTGCCAGGTGTCACTAGGACAAAGCCCCTAGTCAGTCAAACCACGAGCTCTTTTCAAGGATGGCGGCATTAATGAGGCAGAGTGCGAGAAGGAGTGAACATCAAAAGATCTTCAACCACAGGCATCCAGGCAGTTGGGCTTCCAATAAGCCCAGTTAATTCCTCCATCCCATTCTTCAATTTCAGCAGCATCCATAAGTCATCTCTAACAATTTGGCAAAGGTGACAGTATCTCCTGTTAGTGAGGCTGTAACACCAGATTCCTAGCAGTCCCTGTTGGTTTAAAAACACAGGCCATGTTCTTAGTCACTTCCCAGAGGCTACTGCACTGAGGACCTGGAAGTGCCAATAAAATGCCAAGACCCTCGGCCATCATCTTCAAGTAGCTGAAAGTTTTCAGATGAGAGTCCAACCCTAGACAACCGCTGGCTGAGTCAACCATATCGAGATTGAGAAAATAAAAACGCACAAAGCTTCTGTGTTTGCAGTCATACTATTACACTGTAATAGAGAATGCAGAGTGGGATCAGAGGGCTTCTTATTTTCTGTAGACCTGTAATAGAGAAATCAGGCATACATGTATATGCATGC